ACGTTAAATACGTAAAGAAAATTACATCGGTGTAGCATTACTGTTAAAGTATCCTAAACCTATTGTATATACATCCACAACGACCGCTCGAGATGAGCAGTTAGCTACAATTGAAAAAACACAACGAATAATAGTTGTATAAAACTTGTTCAAGTGGGTTATGATCAAACTAATTAGCGATTCAAATAAAAAAAGACACTAGACATATATAGAACATGGTTGGATGTATCTTATGGTTTCCGGTAAGGCAGGACACAATATGAGTTCCTTTTGTGTCCAATGATAATAAAATCCAGCTAGCAGATAGAGAAACAAATATGATATGTGGAAGAGGATCACCTTAATCTAGTAAAGAGATAAACCTAATAAAATATTAACGAAGGTGGTTGCTAATAGAATAAATCGTGTGCCCAATCTCGTGTTGCGCCCAACTCAGACCTCATTCATGTAAGGCAGTAATATCCTGGGAGACGTTTCAATTTTGCATGAAACTAGCTGTGAACACAATCAAGAAAAGATGAGGTTGTAATATTTAAAATTGACTGAGAAATGCATATATTAAGGTTGAATGGTCTTTTATACAAAACTCGGCAAATGAAGGGATTCACCGCACCTGCTGTGAGTGGTGGGAGAAAATCGTATCAGGAGGGGCGTGGGAATTAATTTCATAGTACCATATTCCCATATATAGAAAAATGTTAAAGGATGATACTCTCTGTCCTCTTCAATATAGTTGTCGACATGTTGGAAATTACCATTGATGTGACCAAAGCGGAGTGTCCAATTAGTAGGGTGATTCCCCATCTGGTGGATGATATATTGCCTATCCTATAGTATGTTTATGCCACATCCTTTTCCTGGGTTATGATATTGGGAAGGCAAAAAATTCTAAAACTTCTCACTAGTACTTTTGAACATCTCTTAGGTTTAAAAATAAACTTTCATACATGTCCAATTTTCTATTGATGAAATCTCAAGATGTCGTAAAACAATATCTTAGTATATTTGGTAGTTAGAAGTGTTGTTTACCCTTTCGTTGCCTTTGGGTTTCGATACATGTTATGTAGTTACATAATACAGAAGGGAATAGAAGAGCCATATACACATAACTGAGTACCTGGAAAGGAAAGAATATATCCGCTGGTGTTAGCTTGTTGCTAATTAATTAACTACACAACAGTCAGGATGTATAGTCTCTCCTTCAAAATAACTCTGGGGAAATCAAGAGGCATGGCCATTTCATATGACTTCTATTGGCTAAGTGCTAAACCATAAATAAAATAAATAGACCACCTATCTAGGTGGAAAATGTGCTTTATCACCCTATGGATTAGTGAAAATTAGGATTTCAAGATTTACAAGTAAAAAAGTAAAAGCATTGTATGTTTATGGCTATTCGAATTCCTAAGTGAGAAAGGACTATCGCAAGGTATCCTCTTCAGTAAATTCCTGGGGTCTAAATAACTCTCCCAAGCGGACAGGAGACCCCATGGCTCGCATTTTTGGATGGGCCATATGCGGTGCAGCTGAGCATCTTCTATTATGGAACCTTCACCATTAATGAGGGATCCCAATTTTAGTTCTGGAAGGACAAATGGTTTGAAAATAATCATTTTACTTGAGCCGTGTGACACATATTTTAGGCGCATCTAATATGGTTGATACTTGGTTGTTTGGAGCGAGTGCACTGCATTGGTCACTATGGCTTTGAATAAATGTTGTTAGTTTTGATGAGAGAAAAATAATTATGTTGTGGAAGTTTATACACGGACGTGCACACTGGATCCATCCATTGCCCATACTCCAGCAATTGGAGGACTGCAATCTCATGGTGGTGGCATGATTTCAGCTGGCAACAATTGTTAGGGACTAGTTTACTCATCATGGGCGTCGACCTAGCCTCCGCATCACTGAGTTCTTTACATCTCGGTTTTTTATCAATTCTTTTATTCAAGTGACAATGTTACCACCAAGTTTGTTCCCAGTGCTCCACAGACAAAGGTTTGTTCCTGATGGTACATTAATTTAACTGGATTTTTGTTTACACATCATATGGAGATCCAAGAGCTTAGCTCTTTTGTGGTGAATCATATCGATAATTTTCCAAATATTTAGTAAACTCTTTCACTAAAAAACACAATATGTTTCTGAAATAAGGAAATTATGGTGTAAATGCTCGTTAAGTCTACCTTTAGCGCCTCCACCAATGCCTTCCACACCCCGTTGCAACCAGCAACATCAACCGATATCCCAATTACGGAGTCTCTGCTTTGATTGTCAGTGGATGCCGAGGTGGTGGTGTTCGAGTTGACTGAGGGGATGTAGAGCCACTTCCTTACATGTTCGATGGACTTCTTGAATTGTTGCCTGTAGTGCGAGGTCTGAATTGGACGGAATGTTACTCAAGTATATTCGGAAAATGTTAATGGCATCTTAACACACAGTAATAAAACAAAAATATTTATTACAACTATTATTTGTAACTTCACTTTCAAAAAATGATGTAAAGCATGTAACCATTTGATTTGCTCAATCGCTTGGCAATAATGAATTATATATATTTGATTATTTCGGATGGTGTATAAACGAATGGTGTCCAAGCACTCTACATGATAAAAAATGAACTTTCGTAATATATTTTTGAAAATCAATGTGTGCCAATGTACATAATTGAGCTTCCACCAATTAATTAATATAATATATAGAAGAAATAATTATGATAGGGTTAGCTTAAGGTTCGAATGAATATAAAAATATAATGTATTTATAAACTTGCAATATTTTATTCATGTATTAATTATATTTAAATTATATAGCTTTCAGCGTACCTACAACACATGTCAGTAAGCGAAATGTACATATTTAGGTAATCTTTTGAGTTGTTGGTAGTATTTATTGATGCTGTGTAGTCAGGTTGGGCAAGGGTTGAAAGACTAAGAGAAGCCTAATTATATGGTTTTTCTCGGAAGGTAAGTTGTACCTCGGCCATCCTAATTAAATGTTTTCTTATATATGGTTTGGAAGCTCACGGTGCTTGGGGTAATTCCCCAGCCGATGTTTTTTTGGTGGTTACTATATCTTGGTGGCTATGGCGGTCTTCAATGGCAAGGTCGTTTGCAGATGTGCCTTTCCCTTACTGCATATTCAGTGCATATTTTGTGTCAAGTTGTCCTTTTTTACAGCTTACTGTTTTCCTTTATAAATATCAGATTTAAGATACTCATTGGATGTCTTTTCTCAACAAATGGATTGGATTACTACTTCATTTCTAAACTACGGAACTGTATTAAAAAATTATTACAGAAAGTTTAGAGGAACAAATCATGCAAGATGTATTCATTCTATCCATGCCAGGTATAAAAATATATCTAGATTTATTATACTAATTTGTGGTCATCTTTCAAAACAAAATATTTCTCCGACGGATAATTAGTTGTCAAGGTGGGAGGGTGGGGAACCTCAGGACCTTGGTTCTGGGTGCGTTTGTTAGTACAGATGGCTTCGGTGGTGGTGATGGAAGCGGCAAAAAGTTTCCTCCAGATCTCACATCAAAGTTGTAGATGCACCATCGCATGTCCATTGGAATTCAACGGACACTTCGTGTGTCTTTGAGTTTGTCAAAGGTAATGGCCCACTTCTTCCTACTCTTTGGGGTGGTGGTCTTGCGAGCAACCAGCTGTGTTGATGGCGAAAAGCCGTCCATTGGGGATCGGGGTGATGTTCCACCAGTGATTTTGCTGTAATTATGAGGCTGTGGCCTCATTTTCGCCCCTTGGGGTGTTTCCTTGATGCTACGGATTGCTCTCGAGTGGTTGATGCCCCCCTCCATTGTAGCGGAATTTCATTTCCTTCGTCGCCGTTATGAACATGGCCGAAATTTTGTTCATGAGATGGTTCAACTTTTGGATTTTTGATCAACACAAGGCTTATAATCCAGCTGGCCATGGCACGATGAATTCCAAACTATGGGATACAATGCCATCTCGGCTGTGGCGATGGAATGGCAGTGGGAGTGTGTCTTTGACTCATGTTGGCAATCAAGTATGTTTGGTTCTCTAAGAACCTGGTGGTATTTTCCTTGTTTTCAGGGACGTCGTTTGAAGTCTTTAATATAAATTCAAGGTGTTATTCATAAAAATTTCGTCTATACTAAATAGTACGTGCATAATTGACTAAGCATCTTAAAAAGTGCATGCATTCCAATCATGTCCTTCATGGATTCTTTTTTGCTAAGACTCCAAATATGTTACATTTCGATCATAGTGTCTGATGATGTAAAATTATTTTTCTTAGATCAAGCTACCTATACTTTGGGGTGAAAAGCTTGTTTAATCTATGGAAATTTAAACTCTACAACCCAGCCTCTGCAACAACAAAATGTCATAAAGACATTACGGGTGCACACAACCAAAAGGCAAAAAGAAAAAGAAGAAGAAGAAGAAGAAAATGAAAGATCCCGCTACAGTGATTAATTTCTTATAGTTGCAACATGAACCACCACAAGACAAGACCCCACGTCCAAATTCTAAACAAGCAACGCCTCCAAGAAGAAAACGGTGCATAAGCGTCGTCATCGCCCTATCACGGGTCTAAGGTTTTCACCCTGAAAAAAATCCGTGGTCTCAAAGCAATGCCTTTAATAACGACACTGTCAGGCACAACCACATAAGGCGAGATCTTGGGTTTTCACCCTGAAAGCTAAGACTTTTGTACTCCGCCTGCGCTGCCGCCCTCACTAGCTGATACCACTGCTATGAGTCACGAATCACCAAGCAAAGTCCGCATCATCTCAAAGACTTGATCTGCCATTACTAGGCCTCAAACTTCAGCCACCATGATGTTCTCCGCCACTGTTTTCACCATACAAATCGAAATATCGACATGTCTCATAATGTCAAGAAACAAAGAAGCTTCGTGTCACACCCTCCTGAAGCCACAAGGGCTAAAATAGAGGTGCACACGACCAAATTTCATCGGATCCAGCAGTCTACAGACATCAAGCACCCAATGATGATCTCCGACGGAGCCTTCCGGAACCCGTCAAGGGCCAGATCAATGGGGGCCGGCATCAAGCAGAACACCATCTTACGCTAGAAGAACCCAAGGACCGATGCTGAAGGGGAACAGATTTGCGAGGGGAACCCCGGATCCACATCACCAGAGCGCTGCTCGCATGGCTGCATCCCGCAATGTCTCTGGATCACGCGAGTCACCTCAACAACGACCTGCGCGGCAAGCTTTACATCAAAGATGTAGTTACATCGGACGGATCCTGGTCCAATCCAGGAGCACCCGACCACGGAATATCCTAACGGATGCACAGAGGCGAGCTACCTAGCTATCAAGATGGGTCGGCCCAACTACGAGATAGAACACGCGCTACAGTATCCAGTTTTGGGTACTTTCTGGAAGGTTCCTGACCGGTTTTGCGAACCTTCCAGAAGGTTCTTGAACCGGTTTTTCACGGGTTTTTTCTCCTTTTTTTCTTCTTTCTTTGTTTTTCTGTTTTTTTATTTCATTTTTTCAATTCCTTTTTCTTCACTTTCTATTTCCTTTTTGTTCTTCAGATTTTCAAATTCCTTTTTGTTTCTTTTTTCTTTTCTTCTTTTTTCGTTTTCTCTGTTTGTTTTCTTTCTTTGGTTTCTTATTTCATTTTCATTTTCTTTTTCTTTTTCTTTCAAAATATTCAAATTTTGTTTACCTTTCCATAAAATGTTAAGTTTTCTAAAAAATGTTCTCAAAATACAAAAATTGTTCACGTTACACAAGAAAGTTCAAAACTTTCAAAATTAATATAATGTACCAGACTTCAATTTTTTGTTCGCGTTTTCAAAAACTGTCTATGCTTCCAAATTTGTTATCCGTTTTCAAAATTTGTTCTCAATATTCAAGAAATGTCCGTGCTTTAAGAAATTGTTTTTGCTTCCAAATTTATTCTACGTTTCAAAATTTGTTCTCAAGATTCGAAAAAATATTCATGCTTCAAAAAAATTTGCGCGCTTCCAAATTTGTTCTCCATTTCAAATTTTGTTCTGAAGATTAAAAAAATGTTGTTCTTTAAAAAATGTTCATGTTCAAATTGTGTTCTCGATTTCAAAATTTTGTTCTCTAAATTCAAAAAATATTCGGGATTGTAAAAAGTTTTGATTTTATCAAAACTTTGTTCAAGCTTTTTAGTTTTTCTTCTAAAATTTGGAAAGTGTTCGCTTTTTAAAAACACGTTTTCAAAATAATATTCGCGTTAGGAATTTGAGAAAATACTCGAATCTACATTACATTTAGCTTCGCGCGCCATGGCAAACCAAGAAAGCTTGTCTATCATGTTGGCTAGGATCGTGCGTACAACGATGGAGGTCCCTGGTCCGATCCCTCCCTCGAGCGGCCCAACTGAAGACACGCCTGTGCGTCCACTCGACAATTCGCCGCAACGAGCGGCGCATAGGAGCGCTACCCGACCACCGCATAAGGCGACGTAGCATCAAGGATTGGACAGGGAAACAAGATGACGGAGGGGCAACCCGCCGCCACCGTGGGTCAGCCAGGGGGCCGCCGGCGGCAGCAGCGTGGGGAAAGAATCGCCCTGTGAGTCGCAAGAGCGACCCATGAGACGTCAAGATTAGTACCTCCTCTGGTTAGTCGTTGATAAAGGGTGATATAAGATTTCTATTTTCTGTTGTATCTACTAGCCAAGATTAATCGCCTACTCCTGCCGTCCGGTGAAGAGTGTATATCTAGTTTCAAAGTTTGTCCACAAAAGAGTGTACTTTACCTTCCCATGCACTTTAAAGTAGGAAAAAATACTTCTCTCTCATCACACGATAATCAAGACCAATAGCAATCTACACATGGTTTTCTTAACTTCTACATGCACTTAGCTCATCGAGGGTCGGGTAATTAAAGAGAAGAAAGATGGTGGCTTGCACTTTTTCAATGCATTTTTTACTTAACTCCATAATTTGTCCTAAAATTTCTAGATATACACTCTTCACCGGACGGAGGAAGTACAGTAGAACCTCATAGAGAAACCAAAGATGAGTAAATCTCGCATGAAAATCACTAAAACACATGCAAGTTTTGTCCGGACACCACAAGGTTTTAGGAATATTCACTGGGAAAGCCAATGTCCATGTATCTGGAAGATAGATAGAGCTATAATTGATTTGGCGGGTGCGGGTTACAAGGGGCTCACTTTACGAACAACATCAAAAGTTGTGGCAGTGTAAATCGTCGGTGTCAAAATAATGTTTTAAGAATAACTACCTACTGAAGACGGAGGAAAATAAATAAAAAGAAGGAAAAAGATCCAACTTTGTCTCTTAAACTGCGGTGAGTTTTCGATAAAGTGCAGACTACTTTGAGAAGTTGTAACATTGTACCCGCGGTCAAATTTAGGTTAAGGGTGTGTTTAATTGTATTCTCATCTAAGTATAATTGTTTCCTCTTTATGCATGCTCATCTCAGCATTTTTCCTCATGCACGCTCTTTGTGTATTTCTGTTAAGTTAGTGCACACTCATGCACCAATCATACACCCTATCAAATACCTAAGAATGGATCGAGAAGGAAACGTTTGGACTCATGCACCCATGATACACCTAACCAAACACACCCTAAATGTTGTGCGATATGCAGGCCTGGAAACAACTACAGTCATTTCCATTCTTTCGTGAATTAGTGCGAGCAATGAAGCAAATCATACCTGCGTGTGCGGAGCCATGTTTTTAGCAGAGGCCGTGCCCAACTTGCTGAGCACTAGGTCGACGAGAGACTGCACCTTTTTGGAGGCCTCGCTCCGCCCTTGTTCAGACATCTCCAGGAGGCCAAGTGCAGCTGCATGTGGCCCGGCCCCGGCGACGGACGATTGCACCGGTACAATGGCGAGGCGGTCCTTGTGGCTAAGCTTATCCATGACCAGCTTCATGGCCTCCTTGAGCTGCCCCATCCTTCTCCTCGTTTTCTCCTCCTCCTCCTCAACCTTCTCGTCGTCGTCGGTTTGGTGACCAGCTTCATCGCTGACATCCAGCACGGCCACTAGGTCAACCGGATAGCGCTTCGCCTTGGCCAACCCCGCCGCTGGTGCCACGATGCGTAGCAGAACCGGGAGGCCTGCTCGCGGGTGCTCCGCCGCCGCCGGGACAGTAGAAGCATTGTCCACCTTTGCATAGATTCTTAGCCGCAGGAAAGGATCTTCCATGAACATTAGTGGCAGAGGCAGCTGCCACCATTGGTGTGACTTCCAGGAGAGCATGTACTCCAGCCATAAGTAGTTGTTGTACAGCCTTATCTCCATCTCTCTCATCTCGGCGCTAAGCATGGAGATCAGGCCGGCGCCCCTATCGCCATAGGAATTCTTGAGGGTGGTCCACCGTTGACACAGCTCTTGCGCAAGTGCGTGGAGCTTCTCCGTGTCAGTCTCGTCTTTCTGGCTGATTTCGTCCACGATCTTGATAGCCTTGATCCGTATGATCTCCGCCGCCACCTCCTTGGTGCCGCCCGCGCCCTCCAGGTTGACGGTCACCGCCTGCCGGTCGAGCTTGTCGTCCGGCACATGGACGTACTTGGCACGAACGGCGATCAGGCCCGACAGGTCTACTTGATCCGGAGGGACCCCGCTCATGTCGACGACGAAACTGGTGGCCGCGTCAGAGCCAGGGAGGCGCGCAGTGGCCCAGATCTTCCTCTTGTCGCAGGAGACGAAGTAGCTGAGGTGAGGAGCACGAACTGCGGTGATAACCACCTCCTCGTGGCCGACGCACTCGAGTTCCACCTCAACTGGCATGTTGGCGGCCGCGGAGGTGATCCTGTCGACGGTGGCGATGAAGGCCTGCGTGACGCTGCCCCAGTCGTCGTCCAAGATGGTGTAGGTGCAATCTCTGCTTATGGTGATGGCGTGCATGGCCCTCCCATTGCGTGCGTCCCGGAAGCCAAAGGCCAGCACCGAACGGAACCTCCAGGTGAGCAAGGAGGACATGTCCTCCTGGCTGTTGGAGATGACCATGATGTAGGCCGCACGCCTCTCTTTCTCGTAACCGTAACCCTGCCCATACAGGATCTGCAATCAATTCAACACACCACCACAGCACTAATGAGAAATCAAAAATTATACCTCCTCCATCCATCATGATATTAGGGCATTTTTAGCACTACACTACGTAATTGTTCTACCAACAGCCGGGCCGGGTCGAAGATTCAATAAAAAAAAAGTTAACACTTGTAACAGCTACTCCCTCAGAGGCAGTATTGACGACTCGACGTACCGAGTTGGCTGATTCCAGAGCTCTCACCAGCGAGCTGTCGCATTTCTGGATCGCCGTTCTGACTGCGTCGGAGCAGGAGGCCTTGTTGTCGGACGACATGGGCAGCAAGATCTCCGTGTATTGCAGCGCCTCTTTCGATATGCTTCCCCCGCCACCTCCGCCGGGGACGATGGCGAGGTGGTCCCTTTCGTCGAGCTTGTCCATGACCACCCTCACGGCCTCCATGAGCAGATCCCACCACTTGTCCGGTGCATTGTAGCGCACGTGGACGTGGAGAACGACGGCAATGTCCACGGGCACACGCTGCTCCTGTTCCGGGATTGCGGACGGCGCCATGATCCTCACCATAACCGGGACGATGCTGCTCTCAGCTGGCTCGGCCGCCGTTTTCGCTTCTCCTTTGCTGCTGCCGTCGCTGCATCCAGAGGATGAACCCTGCATGCAGTTCGGTGGAGGATGGAATAATAGTACTACATAGTGAGCTGCTGCATGCATTTTGGTTTCTCAAAACATTATTAAATCGATCAGACCATCTGCATGTGCTACGCACAAACAAGTTTAAAAATGGGATACCTGATGCATCTCCATCTGCATGCAAGCCACCTAATTGATAATTATTCACAAATAATCGGTGGGTGTGCCCTGCATAACACTCAAGCAGCCAAATGTTTCAAACCATTGGGTCTAGATCTGACAACAATCTCTACATATGCCAAAGATGTGGCAGACCTCCAATATTGTACTTGCCTTGTGATTTCTGCTCAGCACAGGAGATTGTCGGAGTCTGCCCTTGGATGCGATTAAAGCTTAAAGTTTATGTTGACTGACTGGCAACCGCTGTGCTCCCCACTAGATTGTAGGAGAATCTCTCCCTTTTTCTTTTTCTTTTTCTTTTTCTTTCTCTTTCTCTTTGTCCCTCAAAAGCAATCTATATTATGCCCTTCGTTTTTCTTTCTCTTTGTCCCTCAAAAGCATTCTCTATCATGCAGGAGGAGATAGGCGAATCTCTCTTTTTTCCTCTCTCTCTCTGCCACCCTTTGGTCCTCCTCCCCTGCGCTCTCTCTCTTTCTCTCTTAGGGCTTGTTCAGTTGAGGTGGATTTGAAGGGGATTGAGGGGGAATTAATCCCCTGCAAGCCAAAATCCCTGCAAATCCCCTCCAATCCACCTGGGGTTGGGATTAACCGAACAAAGCCTTATGGAGGTGATAGACGGTTTCTCTCTCCCCCTCCGGAGCTCTTTTTGCCTTCAGCATGCTGGCCTGGCTATAGCCTCTCTGCCATCAAATGGGGCCAGACCGACAATAGCATCTCACGGATGCCCAAGCTCCTACAGATGAGTGGGCATACCAAGATGCGACCTAAAACAAAGTTCTCTCTCTAGAATAAACTTGCTGGAAACGCATAAGGAGGAGACTGTCTTGTCTACCCTATGTACAGGATGAATCGGTCTACCGATGAATGTGTTGGAGATTTGTGCCAAACACTTACAAGAAACTTCTAATGATCTATCTTTATTGTAGAAAAAATGATGGACCATAATTCTGAACATACAAGACTAAAATCCTAAGATTACAAAAAAAATGGCAACAAGAATACTAGTGGCGGATACGAAAAAACGCCAGCCACTAGTATTTGCCACCCATGGGTAAGTCACTACTAGCGGGCATGTCTTAAGTTACCACGTCCCGGTACTTTTATTGTAAGTTTCTTTGCCTCGCTCATGTTCTTGTAGTCATCACTAGGTGGTCTACGGACATGGATGTAAATATTTCTAGTGTTCTTTGTACTAACTTGATAGTTGATGAATAGATCGAAAGTTTTCTCGCAAAAAATAAAAAGTTCACTTCAAGTTGTAGCATTCACTGGGCTTCGCCTCCACTCCTGTCGCGGAACTTTTACATCGTTCAATGATTTCTCAATAAAGATAGAACAAATGGAAATAATCAGAAGATTACAACCCTCAAATACTTCAAATATAATAAGAAAATCTAACAAAATACTTCTTGCAGAAAATACAACACAATGCAATACTATTTAAGTAATTCCACTATTTATCATTGAATGAAGGAAAACGTAAGGAGGGTGTGAAATTTGATAGATATTTAGGATCTTAATTGCCAACGAGAAAGTTGAACATGAGCACGTATCACTACAGGAGAAAAAATTGTAAGCAGTGTATCTAATACACTCGGCTTATGCCGATTTAAACTCAGTTTATACATAAGTCGTGTAAAACTCCGACTTGGCAAAAAAAACTCAGTTTATATATAAGCCGTGTGTTTCGACAAGGCACTCGGTTTAATAAAGTAACATAACGGCAGCAAGCTATTAACAGCCACGTGTCACCGTCTGTATAAGCCGAGTGCCGATGTGTGTTGCACGGTTTATACATACGCTGAGTGCCCCATACATTGCACGGTTTATATATAAGCTGGGTGTCGCTGCGGGCCACACGGTTTCCATATAATCCGTGTGCCTCTAGGCTGTTCGCGGTTTATACGTAAACCGGGTGCCAGATAGCTGAGCGCACGCCTTATATAGCTTGTCGGTGGCTTATTTGGCCTATAAGCCGGGTGCCATGTTGCTGGGGACACGGCTTACAGGCCATATGGCATTTTCTTTTAACTTTCTTCAGAGAGCAACAACAACATATATACATTTCCAGCAATATATACATGACTAACGAATATATATCCAACAAGCAAGCAATATACATCCAACGAAGGTTCACAACAACTATATATTACATGTTGAGAACCATAATATTCCGACCCTAAGTTCAAAGTCCACACATGCATACATATGAAAAAGAGTTCACAAACGAAAGGACCGTGAGTTTGAAGTCCACACATGCATACATACTAGGTAGGAAGTGCATGCAGCTTGCAACACCCGGCAACACCGCTGCTAGTACAGTCATATCCAATTCAATAATATAGTCATAGGAGCATTGCAAATATAAAAAATAGCAATGCTATTGGTTTAGTACAATGCCATACACCAAATCAATATTGGATAGAATATATTGACAAAGATGATGAACAGTTTAGACATAAGCATCCTCCGAAAGAGAATTCTGGTTTAAAACATTTGTAGTCACATGCAAATTTATCCGCAAATGAGCAAATGTGCCAAGTCAAAGAAGAAGAATAGTACAAAGGATACATTGAGGTTATATAACCATACGAAGGCAGGCTATGTAGACATAAGTCGACATCATCGACATAATAGTTCATACATTCCGATATAGACCAGATACGTTCTCCTTATAGACACCACCAGTAAATACATAACATGACTTAGTTGGCTCATCCTGATCTATTCTCATGCGGTATGGTAGACAAAAGATAGTAATCGGCCTATTTTCTGCATGTCATTCCTTGAATAGGTGTTCCTGCACCAAATCAATTGGTGTGCGTCAGTTATACCCGCATAAACATTAAGATTTCTTTCTTTACATGCATTTAAGGACTTTGCCAACAACTATGGTGACAAAAATGCAAGCAATATCTAGTTGTCTAATTCAAGGCTTCTCAAGCAATAAATGTAGATCCTTTTGTAAGATCGCATCAATTCAAGAGTCTAAATATTCAGTCAAATTTGTACTGAAAATTTAGAGCACAATGCATCTTTGCAAACACATAAGCCGAGTTCTTTCTATTTGCCGGGCGTTTTTTTTTCTAGACTCGGCTTAAAGGAACATAAACCGAGTACCCAAAAAATAGCTCACGGCTTATAGGCTAACACACGGGAAAACAAGATTTTCCTGTAGTGTATATATGCACTCCTACAATTGTATGATGAAGTATTTAGGATCTTTTTTGCCAACGAAAAAACTGAAAATGAGCTCATATATATGCACTCCTACAATTATTTAAAGAAGTATTTAGGATCTTATTTGCCAATGAGAAAGTTGAAAATGAGCACGTATATATGGACTCCTACAATTCACGAAGTATTTAGGATCTTATCTGCCAACAAGGAAGTTCAAAATGAGCACGTATGTATTCCTACAATTATTTGACGAAGTATTTAGGATCTTATTTGCCAACGAGAAAGTTTAAAATGAGCATGTATATATACACTCCTACAATTATTTGACGAAGTATTTCGTGTCTTAATGATACATTGGTTATTTCGGATGAGCATGCTATGGGGAGATGGCTACGGCCTATTTCCATGAAATATGTTCTGCTGAACTCAACCTTGATTCTCTTAATGTAGTTCGTCTTTTTGAGCCTTTGATCTTGGAGGACGATAAAATACAGCTATGTGTTGTGTTTTCTGATGGAGAGATGACTAATGCATTGTTTCAGCTTGGAACTTTTAAGGATCCAGGGCCCTATGGCTTCCCTGCAAGATTTTGCCAGAGAAATTGGGACACGGTGAAGGATGGTATTGTGGCTGTTATCAAAGAGTGGCACGGAGATGGTAACCTGCGCTGCTATGCCGATGTCAAGACCGGACTCGAAGACCATTTTCTATCATTGCAAGGAAATTGGTCACTTTAAGAGGAACTATATGAGAACCTTGGCAGTGGACTCGGTTCTCTCCCACTCAGACCCATCTATGGAGTCCTCATGGAGGCAGGCGAGAAGGTGAAGGGCGGGCTCACCGGGCTAGAGTGCCGCCACCTGCGCAACTGTGGCCTGCAGGGCCACAGCGTGTTTGACCCATCGCTGGAGCTGTGAGCACCGAGAGCGCTTCCGACGGCGGCCATCGGGAAGTAGGGGAGCCACTTGGTACGGAACCGATGGCTGGAAGAGAAGATCTCTGTAAGATGATGCGCGGAAGTGCGCCATGCCTTGGACGGGCAGTGACAACACATCTAGCAGGGCTTCTCGGAGCCACGCTGAATCATCGGATATGAAGCCGAGAGCTCCGAATCGGATCTCACCGCCGAGGATCATGGTGATGAAGAAGAATTCCACATGCACCGGATAATCCCTAGACGCGCAGCCCCATGGTGGGAGTCAACTGTCGAGGTAACGAACCTGACAATGAGTATTAGGGGTACGAACAAGGGGCGGAGCCTAGCTATGGCGCAAGTGTACACTCGGATTTAGCGAGTTCGGGCCCCTCTCCTAGAGTTAACAACTCTAGGTCTCATGCCCGGGGGCTTGTCTTTTTCTCTTGGGGTGTATGAATACAATGGGTGCTGAACCCTTGGCATGATGCAGAGGGGAGGATTATATAGAGTGCGCCTCGGCCCATAACTGCCACGTTACAAGGGAGTTGAATGTGCATAACTACAACATTTACTGGTAACGGAAGCTATAAGTACACTTGAAGTCCAACATTAAGCTACTCGACCGTTGAAGTTCCCACGTCGCCCCACGCCTCCTTTATCTGAGTGTTGTAGGCTGGGCCAACTGAAGGGAGGACATCCGAGTGCTGTTAGTTGATTTGAGTGGATTTCTGGGGATACGCGCATCTGAATACACCAGTGGTCCTCGGACCTTCCAATGATGATGTGTGGCCCTAGATGGGCCCATAGATGTCAGGCCCATGGGCCTACCATTAGTAGGTGACCCCATGACCAACATCAACGGTACTGCTATTTGTATTACGTAAAAGCCCCCATCTTTCGCGCGCAGTGTCATCTACTTCACTGTGTATTCTCCCTATTTGCAGTTATGTAGTCGTGGAATCCATCTAAAAATAAAGACCACTATTTATCTGTCTACATAAGGCTTATTATTTGTATTGCAATTCGAATTTGTTCATCATGTAGCTGCACCATGCACTTCCTGACTAAATTCTAATAAATTTATTGCACAGATAAACTATAACTATAACTTTGATTTATTGCGGCGACATGCAAAAAAACACGAAAAGATTAGGCACTAAAGTATACACCGCATCCCAAACAGCGGTGTGTGGTATGTCATCTACTTCACTGTCTCTACGGGCATCAACACTGGTAGTATATAATACTATAAGGGAGGGTGTGTGGGTGCAGACCAAGCAAGTCGACGGCTTTCCTTTGGCATTCATCCATCCCATGTTCCATACCCCGTAGAGCAGGTAGCAGAGCAGCATGACCACGCACAGCTCACAATTCATTCCCCAGATGCTGCTGCTGCCAGCAATCCTACTAGTCATACTTGCCGCCGCGGCTGAACAGCAGCAGCATCCCCTTCCCGTTCGGCATCGGCAATGGCTGCTTCCGCGATGGCTTCGAGGTCTTTTGCAACGACTCCTTCATTCCTCCTCGTGCTTTTCTTGCTGACAACAGAACAATCAATCTGGAGAGATCCTTCTACGACGACCGGGGCTACTATCAGTCGTCGCCGCCGCTGGAGCTCTTGAGCATATCAGTCGCCACGAGCAAGGTACGAGCATACGCTGCAGCCTAAATATGACCGGCCGGACCGTGTCCAAGGGAGGTGAGGGAAAAACCTTCTTCATGTCCCAGCATATAAATTTCGGCAACTCGCCGTTTGCTGTGTCAGCAGCGCGCAATGTTCTCATAGGCGTCGGCCAGATAGTGGAGCCTGTACTGGTATATGGTAACGGCGGTTCGGTGCCTAACTTGTATTGCCGCACAATATCAGAGAGACGGTACATGCAGAGGTACAACCCGGTCAAGAATGGGTCATGCGAGGGGCGGGGCTGCTGTGAGACCACCCTTGTGCATCCCGGCAAGAGTTTGACCGTGTCTGTCATCGAGGAGGACGATAACGAGTGGTGGCAGCTCTACCCCTGCTCCTACGCCATGCTGGTGGAGAAGTCATGGTACAACTTCTTTACACCGGACATGTCCGGTAACAAGACGCTGCACGAAAGGCTCCTCCGTGGCGTTCCCCTCGTAATGGATTTCGCTGCCGGGAATGCTTCGTGTCCGGCGGATGGACAGCCGCCGCCTCCAGACTACGCTTGCATCAGCCAAAACAGCTCTTGTGCCGACGCAACAATTACTCCTGGCTATGCCTGCCGGTGCTCCGACAATTACACCGGCAACCCTTACATCGCTCACGGTTGCCAAGGTACGTACATATTCCTACATACATGCAAGGATCTGTCATTACCAAATCGTTTACTTCCCATGTTTTGATTCTGCAGACATTGATGAGTGCAAGCTCCCTGAAAATCCCTGCTCAAATGGCGGGATCTGCAAAAATATGCCGGGAGGCTATGACTGTCCCTGCAAATTTGGAATGAAAGCGGATGGCCAAGGGGGGACCTGCACACATGTATTCCCTCCAGCAGCAATGGCGACTGTCGGTAAGTAATATAAGCCACTACGTACTTCACTGCACTCTTGAGTATTTTTGTTCAGGTTGCGCGTGAGATCTATTCCAGTAGAATCAGTACCCTCTGGGTGACATACAGTCCAACCAGGCCAATAGTTGGTCTGAAGTCCAACCTACAAAATGCATATTTTTTATTAGGTCTCACCTAAATTATTGATTCACCTTCGGTTATATTTCTTCATCTAGGAACTTGGTTCGCTGAATAATGTATATCAACTTGCTGCATATCAAAATTATTAACATAGAAACGCGTGAAATAGGAACTGCATGCTTTTACATCTCTTGACACATAGCGTACAAGCTGCACATGTAATTATTCCAAAATATTTCAATCAGTCAACTGTATACAGCATAATATCTATAAATAACCTGACTGTAATTTATGAGCCAATACAGGTTTTCCAAATTATATTGCATATAAGTTTTGTGTGAAGTCAAACTTTGTAAAAGAATCCAAAGTATACGAAAATTGACGATTCCAAATATTATACCGTGTGAAAGAATGTTACATGTTAAATCCAGTGTGTTTTAGATGTTGACATTTCTTTCTATAATCTTAATGAATGTGTAAACAACAGTTGACTTGGGACAAAGTTTATATGCTCTATACTTCAGCAAAGAGAGTACATGATTTTGTTGTCTTCTAGGCACTTCCTTGGAAGTTTTAACCACTTGCCATTCTTGATTTTGATTAATTTTGATCTGATAATTCTAGTGGTAATTTTTTTACCCCGAGCAGATGATCATAGGAGACTATTAATTCTTATACTAAATATTTCTGCCAGATTTGCAATTGCAAATTTAGTGATATAAACTAAGTTATCTCTTGTCTCTCTAGGCGGAATAGGTGGTATTCTTCTCATGGCAATTATAACGTTTCTGATTATTCTTCACAAAGAGAAAAAGAAGATGAAGGAATTCTACAAAAAGAATGGTGGCCCTATATTGGAAAAGGCAAATACCATTAAACTTTTCACAAAAGGGGAGCTCAAGCCAGTTTTAAAGAATAGCAACTTAATTGGAAAAGGTTGCTTCAGTGAAGTTTACAAAGGCCTTCTTGACAATGAACAAGTTGCAAAAAAGAAACCGATCAATGGTAGCGTGCAAGAGAATGACCAATTCGCAAATGAAGTCATCATCCAATCTCAAGTCATCCACAAGAACATTGTTAGGCTCATTGGCTGTTGCCTTGAAGTTGATGCCCCCATGCTGGTCTATGAGTTCATCTCACAAGGTAGCCTCCATGACATTCTTCACAACAACAGTAAAAAGGTGGCCCTCAACTTGGATGCACGTTTAAGTATTGCTGCACAATCAGCCGATGGTCTAGCTTATATGCACTCACAAGCAAACACTAGAATTCTACACGGTGATGTCAAACCAGCAAATATACTCTTGGATGATAACTTTGCACCCAAAATTTCAGACTTTGGCATATCTAGGTTGCTTGCGAAAGACAAGGAACACACCGGATCAGTCATTGGCGACATGAATTATATGGATCCGGTATATCTACAAGAAGGACTACTCACTGAAAAAAGTGACGTCTATAGTTTTGGAGTTGTGATCTTGGAGCTTATTAGCAGCAGAAGGGCCATACATTCCGAGACTAATGGTGTGGTGAAGAGCTTTCTTGAAGCCCATAAGAAACAGAAGAAAGCAACCGAGTTTTTTGACAAGGAAATTGCAATACCAGAAGATTTAGAGCTTCTTGATAGTCTAGCAAGTATGGCCGTGGAATGCCTTAGCCTTGATGTAGATCAAAGACCCATGATGATGGAGGTAGCTGAGCAGCTGCACAAACTGAGTCGGTCTCGTAAGGTACAAGATGTTTGTCACTAACCTCCATTTGAGAAAACCCTCATTTTGGTTCCGTGAAAACATTTGTAACTGTGCTTGTACGGTGGCCGAATGCTCGCAGGCTGCATTTGTAATTGTGTTTCTAAGGTGTTGTAACTATGTGTGAAAGCACTACATTTTTACCAAATATGTAACCATGTGAAACTATTGGCTCCAAACAACATTTTATTTCTAAATTGAGTGCAAGAAACAGATCCAAACATTGCACTGTATGATTGACATTATTATATGCATTGGATGCTGTCTAACAAAGAGATGATGTCTTTGTATGATTGACATTATTATATGCATGCATCATCTTCTGCTAACAGAAGAGTTGAAGTGCAGTAGCTTGATGTGAAGACTGGTCGTCGGTCTTGGCACATACAGCAACACCACTTGCACTTTTTTCTTTCGAGAATGACACCACTTCAACTTGTGCTCCAGCGTTACGCAAGTGGACTGGAGTGTCCTCCAGATGCCATTCATGCATCTGCCGTCTTCCTCGAAAATACAACCACTGAACTTGGACTTGACTTGGCCTCGTCGAGGGCATCTTCGTTAAGCAACTTGCTGATGGCTTTTACAAAATGATTAAATTTTTGCCGGCATGGAGACCTTGAGACGGTCTTTGCACGTCTTCCTCATTGTTTCGTTTCTTGCTGTTGCGCTTGCTGTCGTTCTGCTCCCCACGCAAGTTAAATAGTAAGTGCTTCTCATATATAATGACTACTTTTGTACCTAAAACTATTATTTGCTAATTTTACGATAGATCTATCACACACTTGCAGTTCAAATTTGAATTATTTTAAGAGTATCAACATAAAGTCATTTAAATATGCAAAAGTATCTAGAAAACTAAAAAAATATATGAAACTGGGAAATTGTGAATAAATTATGGTCTACTCACTGTGATAATTGGAGAGGTGCCATTTTGCACCCTGTTTTTTGAACTTGCTTCACAATAAATAACCAATTTGCATTACTTTCGAGAAATCAACATAAAGTCATTTAAATGCGTGAAAGTGGCTAGAGATCAGAAATCCATGAAACTTTTGCCGAGTGTAGCACTCGGCAAAGCCGTGTTTGCCGAGTTTTGTTGTTTTACCGAGCGTTTTGTCCACAACACACGGCAAAGTACGTATTTGCCGAGTTTTCTAGATACTATTGGCAAGTGCCCGACATAATGCACTTGGCAAAGAGCGTAACACTCGGCAGAGAGGAAAATTCCTGTAGTGTGTATCTCTTCCTGGACGGAGATTGAGTCGCAGAATACCAAACTCTACCAATAATTGGTACTAGTAGTTGTCTGATGAGTGAAAACTAAAGGCGACAAAAGAGGCAGGGCCAGTGCTCTTGCAATCGGTCAGACTTTGACAAGTCGTTGGATATGTTTTTGCTGTGCGTAGGCAACAGCGAGCGATCTTCCTAGTTGCAGTTCTGAGCCTTACAAAAACTGCCTTTTCCACTTGAGGTAGGGGTTGTGTGACGTGGTGGTGGTCTTGTCATGGAAGTAACAGAGTGCCGAGTCAAGTGGATGAGGTCAACAAACAGTTTTCACTGCTACTCCCTCCGTTCTAAAATAGATGACCCAACTACAAAGTTAGTACAAAGTTGAGTCATCTATTTTGGAACGGAGAGAGTACATGGATGAATTAAGTCACAAACTGATAGGCAAAAGGAGAACTCAAAACTAAAAAACTGCAAGCGCATCTACATCCATGATCTTTTCCGAAGTTTGAATGTCAGTATTCTTCCCTTTTTTCTTGTGAGGAGCATGTGGTCGGGTGTGTATATAACAAGGGTAGCTGTGCAAGCCCATCATACCCGATAGAGCATGCAGTACAGCACCATGACCACGCCAAGCTTGCAGTTCCTTTCCCAGCAGCAGCTGCTGCTACTGCTGCCAGCCGTAATCCTACTAGTAGTTGCCGCCGCGGCTGATGCTCAAGGGCAGCTTCCGGGTTGCGGCCACAAGTGCGGCAACATCGACATCCCCTTCCCGTTCGGCATCGGCATCGGCCCTGGCTGCTTCGTCGACGGGTTCGAGGTCCTGTGCAACGACTCCTACCACACCCCTCGCGCCTTCCTTCGGGGCACGAACGGCTCTTACTTCCCATCGCCGTACGAACTGCTGAGCATAGCAGTCGAGAAGGGCGAGGCACGAGTGCTAGCCCCGATCGCGTCTCGGTGCAACACAGATATCAACGTGTCCTTCTCCGCGGGCATGTATATGGATCTAGTTGTCACGCCGTTCGCCGTGTCGGTGAGTAATGTGCTCATCGGCGTCGGTGCTACTGCCGTGACTACGATGCAGTACACTGTGCCTGCTGAGCGCATCTTCTCTTGCCTTGCATATGATTTCGGGTCAGTCCGTGAAGAAGGGGGCAACGGGAACTGCACGGCAGGCTGCTGCGAGTTCAGCCCTTCCACCCTCACCAAGGATGTGCTATTGTCTGTCAGATATATTGCTGAAGATCAGACCAACATGATGTGGTCAACCTTCCCGTGCGCTTATGGCATGCTGGTGGAGAAGTCATGGTACGAGTACTATAGGCGTGACATGTTCAGGTACACGCTGCTCAACAGAACCACCCAGGGCGTCCCCCTCACGCTCAATTTTGCCGCTGGGAAGGGTTCGTGTCTGGCGAAAGGACAAGTGCCTCCTCCGGAATACGCCTGCATCAGCGGCAACAGCTCTTGTGCCAACGCAACATATTCAGATACTCCTGGCTATATGTGCAAGTGCCTGGACGGTTACGCGGGCAACCCTTACGTCGCTAACGGATGCCAAGGTACGTGGCTACTATATGCAATTATGCATGCATGCATACACACAATAAATTCCTTAACTCCGTAAATTGTTGAGTATTCAGACATCGTTGAATGCGAGCAACCCGAAGTGTATCCATGCTAAAATGAGGGGACCTGCAAAAACAAGCTGGGAGGCTACGACTGTCCATGCAAATTCGGAATGAAAGGCGACGGCATAACAGGAACCTGCACACCTGTATTCACTCCAGCAGCAAAGGCGACAGTGGGTAAGCTATTGCCAGTTTTTTATTGTTAGCTAGCCACGTTGCGTCAGGATGCAAGGAAAATTATTAGCACACAGCACACCTTTATTAGATTCTTGTTTAAAAGAATAAGTAAAAGTTCAATAGAACTAATTAAAAACATATAAAAAATAGCGTATAGGATCGCCACCAGGCAAACCCAAACGTCACAACGAGATCTGTTCCATGTAGAATCAATAATCATGCCCACGCCCCTTACATCTCTTGTACATCTCTTCATTCATATATACGCATGTATCACATAGGAGAACTGCTTGTACATTTCTTCATTCATATATACGCTCCCCTTACATAGTTGTCCCAAAGGATTTCAACCATTCGGTTGTATACTGCTCAATTTCGTCAGAGTTTCAATCCCTTTCCACTTTTGATTTAGATTCTTTTTTCTTCTCATAATTCCAGTGGGATTTTTTTTTTAGATTCCGAGAAGATGAACACAAGAAACTAAATTTAATTATTATTTCTGGTACAACCAATAGTGTAATTAATTGCAAATTTAATTAGTGATACAAACTGAGTTTGCATTTTGTCCATCTAGGTGCAATAGCGGGTGTTCTTCTTCTGGTGATTATATTGTTTCTTGTTATTCTTCGCAAGGAGAAAAAGAAGGCGAAAGAATTTTACAGGAAGAACGGTGGCCCTACATTAGAGAAGGCAAATGTGATTAAACTTTTCAGAAAGGATGAGCTCAAGCCAATTTTGAAGAAGAGCAACTTAATTGGAAAAGGTTGCTTTGGTGAAGTTTACAAGGGCATTCTTGACAATAAACTAGTTGCAGTAAAGAAGCCGATTAATGGTTCTGTGCTAGAGAGTGACCAATTTGCAAATGAAGTCATCATCCAATCTCAGGTCATCCACAAGAACATTGTTAGACTCATTGGTTGTTGCCTTGAAGTCGATGCCCCCATGCTTGTCTATGAGTTTATCTCGCAAGGTAGCCTCCATGACATTCTTCACAACAGCAATAACAAGGTGGCTTTCAACTTGGATGCACGTCTAAGTATTGCTGCACATTCAGCCGATGGTCTAGCTTATATGCACTCAAAAACAAATAATAGAATTCTACACGGTGATGTCAAACCAGCTAATATACTTTTGGATGATAACTTCATACCCAAGATTTCAGACTTCGGCATATCTAGGCTAATTGCAAGTGACAAGGAACACAGTGCATCAATCATTGGCGACATGAATTATATGGATCCGGTGTATCTACAAGAAGGCTTACTCACTGAAAAAAGTGATGTCTACAGTTTTGGAGTAGTGATCCTGGAACTTATTAGCAGGGAGAGGGCAATCCATTCTGATAATAATAAGCTGGTAAAGAATTTCCTTGAAGCCCACATGAAACAGAAGAAAGCAACTGAGTTTTTCGACAAGGAAATTGCAATAACAAAAGATTTGGAGATCCTTGAAAGTTTAGCAAGTATGGCTGTGGAATGCCTTAGCCTTGACGTGGATCAAAGGCCAACGATGATGGAGGTAGCTGAGCGGCTACTCATACTAAGCCGATCTTGTAAGTTGTAAGATGTTTGTCACTAAGTTATTTTTTGAATAATAGGCAGCGGAGGTCTCCTACAATATTAGTAACCGTGTCTCCATCTGTAACTGTATTCAAAAGAAGTGCATTTTTACAGAATTTATAAGTCGAAGTATCCAGTGAAAATAGCTACTCTGTGTAATCTAAAAATTCCATCATGGTCCATCAGATATATAATGAACGGCGCCGACAGTACATTATTTTTGATTGAACGTATGTAGAGTTTCAAAGCACTTTCGAGGCTGTATGAAAAATCATGACTGCCTTTTCGCCCTCACTCTCTCATTAGTTGTGGCTGAAGAAGTGATGAATTCGTACCTCATGTTTCCTTTCATGATATTTTTTAATGGTTACTGGGGGCAGTGAATCCCCACCTGAATATATTCAATTAAATTATACAAGAAGACTCGCAGCTCTATACAAGATGGGTTCAAGCGAAACTGAGAACACCGGGGAAACAACGGAGAAGAGACAGAACCCAAAAAAAACACATACAGCCTAACCAGTCGAAGAAAAGCACTCAGGGAGCAGCCGGCAGGTGCCGCCGGCCAGGAGCAACCTCGACCACCATGCGAGGAGAGGCGATTTGAGAGCAGCCGACAGGTGCCGTACCTAGGCACGGCCGCCAGCCAACGTGCCATGCCGCGACCCGCACGCGCTGGCCGAAGTCGGGCCTGCACCATCGCCACGGAGATGCAGTTCCCTTTTTTAATTGCCCCCCCCCCTGATTTTCAGTGGTGGGGCCCGCCTCACTTAATTAAACCTCAACCAATCAAATCGTAACCATCCCGTAAAACCCCCGTAAGAGCCCGTGTGTCTAGCATTACTCGAGATGCAGGCCACCCGCACAGCCCCAACTCCACCTCGCGCCATGTCCAACGCCCTGAGGATCCACCTCCGTGCCAGAGTGGAAGCTGCTGCCGCCGCCCGCCTCGGAGCGGCTAGGTCCAGCACGTCACGTCGGCCTCCTGAGAGCAGCTAATGTGCCCTGCCGCATCCTTCCTGGAGTGCGTGCGGGCTTCGCCGGCGCCCCCTCGAGTGGAGTTGAGACAGGAGGGCAGTGGGATGGGAGCGCGGCGGCGCAACGAGGGGTCCCTGTGTGGCTAGAGGAGGGGCGGCGCGGGGTTGGTTCTTCCTTTTTTTTTCTTTTTCATGCTAATTTTATGCCAAGTTCATGTATGAGAGAAGTCCTTGTTTGTGCAATAATATGCCTCTTTATGTTCTAGAGTTTGTTGACATAAACAATATGTGACTTATGTGTTTTCTAGTGTATACAGAGTAACAGGTCCTCTGCGTGGCAGTGAAGGTTATCACCGAAGAATATGATAGACCCTTCAAAAATTAGTGACGCGAAGCAATTGGTTCACTGCTCATCGAAGGAAGTGACTGTGACTGATAACAAGAGTCTCGTCTCCTTCCTCCCTCGTCTCTCTCCTCTCCATCCGCCGCGGCCACCCCTCTCCTCCTCCTCCTCCTCATCGACGGCCGCTCACATCCGCCGAGGCCGACCAAGGGTCTACGCCGGCGCCGGCTCCAGCTCCTCCGCTCCTCCGTCTGACCGTCTCCATCCTCCACCTCTCCGGCCGCGTGCGCAGCAGCTTCACCAACCATGGTAGGCCTTGGATCCAAACCCTTCACTGAATCTCGGATCGATCCCCTTAACTCTCCATCTATTATTCTTATTTGATTGATTTTTTAATCCGATCCGATTCGATTCAGTCCGGAGCAGATCGATTCCATGGACGGGAAGGGATCTACGACGAGGATGACGGCGCTCGACGACCACGTGCTTTCGACGGGAAGGAATTTCTAGTGTATTCCCGTCAAATCCATGGCTTCCCCACAAGGTTAAATTGGCGAAAGTAAACTGTGCAGTAGCAAATCACAAATCTTTAGCCATGGTTCCTTTTCCAACAAAGGAGTTGACCACCGTTTGTGCTTGCGTTTCCCAAATATAAAGTTAAGATTGCTCGAGAGCGCCGCGCAAAGTTCTAACATTTTCTGTTATATGCTCTGTACTGGTATGTATGTATGTGACATCTTGTTTCCATTCCATTGCAGTCTCAGCACACCCTTTGCGTTTCTACAATCACTAATTGCACTCCAGTTTGCTGCTGGGTTCCAAATGTTGTTGTTGCACATGAAAAAGAATGGGAGTCAGGTTGCTCATCTAGCTTCTGGATGTATCTCACTGTTTTTTGTTGTTCCGCTCTGGTTTTGCTTGCATATTAGCTCATGTAGCTTTTTAGGAACCAATCCTGCACTCTGTAATTACACGGCTACTACCTATGTGCGCTACATTGCTGTTGTTTGTTAACTGAATGCACCCATCGAATTTGACAATTTGTCTGTAAATATGACTAGTTGCTTGCCCTCTTTGTCAACCAAATTTTAATGTTTTCGTTCGATTTGGATGCAGCAGGAGCTCTCCGGTGACGACATCAAGCAGGAAGACGTCCACATCAGCCTCGATGCTGCGGTCGTCCACCCCTACCACCACGACTCCCCACACAAGGTCGATCCCTCTCTCTTGGCTATGAGGTCTTTTTTTCTTTCCAAGTTTTGGTTGCTCCGCTGTAGCCTGCTATTTTCTTTTCGGGTCCTGAAAGCAAACTAGCTAACATGGCCTCAAAACTTCATTTGTTTGATCCTGTATGATGCATGCTTGCCGGATGGTCACATATTGGCTAAGGTTGTTTTTTTTTGCTACTGAATCCTATTTCATCAGTCTGCACATGATCTGTTGGATCACAGGCCGGAGTACACACGCGAGAGAAAGGAACACGAAGACGCTGGTGTTTTGCGAGGCACAACTGCCGTCCTCTTTTCTTGTTATCTCTTATTTATACGGTCAAAAATATTGCCGTTTTGTTACAACAGAAAATAACGTAAACACAACTGAGAACGGGTATAACGGACGTGCCATCCCACGGCCACCCGAACTGCGCTGCGACGCCGCTGCATGCGCTGGATTCGTGCCATCCCACGAAGCACAAACGGCGGCCACATATAACTAACTACTACTAAGCCAAGACGTGAACAGACTCACGCTGCATGGCCCTATTATTCAGCTAAGAATCAATGACCACGTACATGCACACGTCCATCCCCGTGCTCACGACTCGCTACAGATATTTTATAGAAAAACAAACATGCACTACACCCTACGTACTTTCTAATGCAACAGGATTATCTAACATGATCTTGCTCACCTCTTATTATTAGTTGCCTAAAATTTGCTACTGGATACACATTGTTTTTCCCAAGTTATCATCGCTGCTCTGCTCCAGCACGGTTTCT